ATTACCTAAATATTTCACACCTGTGTAAATGGTAATGTTTGTATAATAATTATTATTTAACATAAGTCCGATAATATTACAGTATTATGAGTGAATTGGTGACATATCAGTACTAGAGCGGTGCTATGTGGCTTCTTAGAAAATTTTTTGTACGTGTGTGTACAGCCAAGCGCGCAAATTGCATTGCATACGGATTCACCTTAATGCATGCAACCTAAATAACATATTCAAGATATCCCCAGAGTCTAATTTCCATAACATGAACACTGGAATACACATAAGAATTATTACATTGTAGCGTCTCTAATAAAAAAGCACTTTCAGATATAAGAGTTTATATTGACAGTCAAAAGAAGCTTCAATGACATCTAAATTGAAATATATTTTTTTTGAAATTGAAGTTGATTGTCTTTCTCGATCTTTTACGCATAGAGACAGCCCACTGAGTTTCCGCCGGATCTTCTCAGTGGGTCGCATTTCCGAGCTGGTGGTAGATTCTGTGAACCACTGCTCTTGCTACCTTGAATCTACAGACACCCGGGATAGTGACTCGGTGGCCGAACAAGATGAATATCCACCCAATAAATGATTTCTCTGCACTTACACTAGACATCCGCTTCCCACACGGGGCAGAACCCAGACAAGGTAGGGAGGATTCCACAGTCAACACTACAATCAGATGTGCAGCTCTCTCTAAGTAAGCCCGACCGTCGGAGTGATTGAGGCGATACTAGACGATTCAACGGTGAGTGCAGCCGGTCCGTTGCCACCTGCATCCAACTTGACCCAGCGATTCTTACCAGGTCGTCGGTCCATCTCGGCCGCCCCACACTGCACTTGCCAGTACGTGGTCTCCACTCGAGGATCCTTCTGCCCCATCAGCCGTTCGATCTCCGCGTTATGTGGCCTGCCCACTGCCACTTCAGCGTGCTAATCCTACGGGTTATGTCAGCAACTTTGATTCTTCTATGGATCTCCTCATTTCTGATTCGGTCTCGTAGAGAAATACCAAGCATAGCCCCCTCCATAGCTCGCTGCGTGACACTAAGCTTCCTAAAAAAATCCCTTGTGAAACACCACGTCTCGGAACCGTAAGTCATCACTGGTAGCACACATTGGTTGACCTTTGTCTTCAGGCACTGAGGCATTTTGGACGAGAACACATTTTTTAATTTACCGAACGCTGCCCAGCCGAGTCGGATCCGCCTACTGACTTCTCTCTTGAAGTTGGACTTACCTAATCGGATAATCGGACTGCCTGTCCCAGGTATATTTATATTCGTCTACAACTTCAAGAGTAGAGTTCGCAGCAGTTACTGGGGTATTCCGATAGAGGCACCCGTCACGTGCGGACGTGCCCATCGACCACTCGATCGCCCGGCCTTTGTTCGCCCGGCTTTTGTTAGCCCGGCCATTGTTCGCGCGGCCTGTGTTCGTGGTACATCTGCCGACCAAGTGTTTTTTCCTGGAAGTTTTTATTTGTTTTGTTTCCTTTCGTTATTTCTGTGTTCGTGGTACATCTGCCGACAANAAAAAAAAAAAAAAAAAAAAAAAAAAAAAAAAAAAAAAAAAAAAAAAAAAAAAAAAAAAAAAGTTACTGGCTTAACATGGACATTAAATATGATTTTCGTTTTATCCATATTCATTTTAAGGCCCACTCGTTAGATGAGGTCACCGAGCATCTGCCCAAATCTTCCAGCGACTTCATGACCACTATATCGTCAGCAAATCGAAGGTGTGTGATGTATTAGCCGTTTATATTGATGCCAAGCCCTTGCCATTCTAGGAGGTTGAAGGAGCCCTCTAAGGCAGCGGTAAACAGTTTCAGAGATATAACGTCTCCCTCTCTTACTCCTCTCTTTAAAGTGTTTCCTTCGTGCAATGCTCGGACTGACATGGTGGCGTTATTAAACAAGTACTTTAACACCTCGACATACCGATAGTCAATACGGCACCGCTGGAGAGATCTAAGGACCGCCCAAGTTTCGATGGAATCAAAGGCCTTTTCATAGTCCACAAACGCCAAGCATAGTGGCCGATTATACTCTTCGGTATTTTGTATAATCTGCCGCAGCGTATGTATGTGGTCTATGGTGCTAGAGCCTTTTCGGAAACCGGCTTGTTCGATAGGCTGAAAGTCATCAAGCCTGCAAAAAACATATAATGTTAGTAATTATAATTTGATAGTGATCTTATTAATTTTATTAAGGATCGAGTACGACAGTTGGGATACTTTGATTAATTTACAGTGAGCTATTTTAACTAAGCTGAGATATTTATTCATTTTATGTACTCTATTAGCTAAGGTAGACTCACGAGATTATTTTATTTTATTTGGCAGAGTAAATACTATATACTTAAGAATCGGAACATACAGCTGCTTGATGAAAAAAGCCAAGATTGAAATAACGGTATTTCACTTTAGGTTCTAACCATGCGCCCAAAGGGTTCTGTATCAGTTCAATAGAAAAACCAAATTAATCTTAAAGTCATTCCCAATTGAACTTATATTTGCAATAAAATTATATAATGTGTTAAGAGCAATGGAAAAACAAATGAACATATTTGTTCAAGATAATAATGCAGCTACTTTTATTTGCAATGAAGATAATTCACTTACCGAGAAATGTGATACTATATCCATGATCAAACTTGGGCATTACATCAGTAAAAATCAGATGAGGTAAAAAAACGTGCGTAGGCATGTCTAAAACAAACAGTATACCTAGTCAGGTCATAAGTATTGTCACGCAGTAAAAACTTTTCTTTTAGAATGCTGGCCACAAAATAGTTTATTGAATTCGAATTTCGAATTGTTCATGAAAATAAAAAATGTATACTTTTAGAATTTTACTCATTTTTAAATATGGAGTGGACGCTTAAAGAAGACCGTGTTGCAGTTATTGCGTTGCATCGTTGCGGTTACGCGCCAATTCAAAATTTTTACATACTGAAAAATTTGAATATAACCAAAAGATTCGTTTATCGTACCATCAAACGATACAACGAAGACTCTAGTGTAGATGACAGGTCAAGAAGTGGTCGCCCTCAGTCTGTTAGGACTCCAGCAGTGATAAAAGCTGTAAAGGCGCGAATTCAAAGAAATCCCAAACGTAATCAGAAACTGTTGGCTCTTCAGATGGGGTTAAGCAGAACAACGGTGAAAAGGGTGTTAAATGAAGACTTAGGGCTTCGGGCATATCGAAGAAAAACAGGACATCGTTTGAATGCTCGTCTAATGGACCTGAGACTGAAGAGATGCCGCGCTTTGTTGAAGCGGTACGCGGGAAAAAATATCGGGAAATTCTTTTTTCGGATGAAAAATTTTTTACCGTAGAAGAGAGCTACAACAAACAAAATGATAAGGTGTACGCACACAGTAGTGAAGAAGCGAGCAACCGTATTCCGCGTGTCCAACGAGGTCATTTTCCATCCNTGAGTACCCAGGTGGGGCGGCCCCGGGTCTTGAAAACACTCGCCTTGCGGCGAGGCCCCAACTTCTCGGACCTGAGCGGTTCTATTGAACACAGGTGGCAATGCGGCGCGATTACTACAGGACAAAGAAAAAGCACAACAAAACAGAAATTACGAAAAGAAACAAAACAAATAAATACTTGCAGGAAACCACTTTGTCGGCAGATGTACCACGAACACAGAAACAACAAAAGGAAACAAAACAAATAAAAACTTCCAGAAAGAGCACTTAGTCGGCAGATGTACCACAAACACAGGCCGCGCGAACAATGGCCGGGCTAACAAAAGCCGGGCGAACAAAGACCGGGCGATCGAGTGGACGATGAGCACGTCCGCACGTGACGGGTGCCTCTATCGGAATGATTGTTTGTTTGTATTGAATAGGCTCCGGAACTACTGAACCGATTTGAAAAATTCGTTCACTATTTGGAAGCTACGCTATCCGTGAATGACATAGGATTTTTGAAAAAAATTAGGGATGCTTACTAAAACTTCAATAAAAAAAATACCTAAAATTTTAATATTCTTTACATCGCGTGCCATGCGAAAACTATTGATGATAGAATAAAATAATGTACTATCAAAGTTAAGCCGCCAGAAAAGTTCTTATATTCAAAAAAATAAAACAACGTCAAATATCGTTGAAATTTTTGTTAAAGACCCGAGCGGAGCCGGAGCGGGCCGCTAGTGTGTAATAAAATCGTTATTGGCAATAGTTTCTGCCAACGACCGTGTTGAATATGTATACCTCGAGTGGCCACGTGTCTGGTTTCTTATATCCCCTGTGTTCTATCCGGAACGGGCTGGGATGCGCAGACGAAGAGTATAGAGGAGTCGTTTAGTGGACCGCTTTAACCCGTCCATGTTTATCAGTAACAGTTCCAGAGGTTTCCAACTCTTAACGCTATGTTCACTTCGGATACTGCAGCTCGAAAAAGAAAGCCAAGTGTAAGATTATCGAAACGATAAAGAGAAAAAAAAACTAATATGAAGTACATGAATTTAAACTGTAAATCAAAAGACACATTTTTCAACTACATGCAGAGTCTGAATATTAATATGAGACGTAGAACATAAGCTGCCGTAGTATTTTTACATTTTATAAAAAAATTATGAACAGTTGACGTAAAATTTGGTCACCTGGTTCAATGTACTATATTATTATTCGATTATCGATTGGACTCCGTTTATTTCTTAAATATATTTGATATTCTTTTTTTTTTTTTTTTTATTGCTTCGATTGGTGCACGAGCTCACAGCCCACCTGGTGTTAAGTGGTTACTGGAGCCCATAGACATTCACAACATAAATGCGCCACCATCATGAGATATAAGTTCTAAGGTCTCAAGTATAGTTACAACGGCTACCTCACCCTTCAAACCGAAACGCATTACTGCTTCACGGTAGAAATAGGCAGGGTGGTGGTACCCACCCACGCGGACTCACAAGAGGTCCTACCACCAGTAAATTGATATTCAGGACTTAGATGTAGTGGTTTTTGTCTCAAACGTATATTTCTAATAATTATGACAAGAGAAAATATCAGTTTGGACATATTGAATATCGGAATGTTTGAAATTAAAATAAAATATTATTTAATTTATACAATTATAGCCACATGTTACAGATACTCAACAAAATCAATATTTAAGTTACTTATATCCATGAACCAAAATTTTAAATTCATTGATCGCTTGTCGAGTGCAGACATGGTGTTGAGAAAACTAATTTGTTTTTTAATTTTATTTGTCAGTGTTGGATGTAATTCGGTTCCGGACTATGCAAGAGCCTTTGACCCGGAATTGTACGAAAGAGTCCTGGATAGCAAAGAATGTCAAAGACAACTGGATTTTCTGAGCAATCGTTCTCTTGGTCTTTCTTGTAAGTACATTTTTGTGTTGAAAACTGAAGTGGCTTCTACGGCTTTTTAGACTTAGAACGCGAATACCTGACCAACTTTAATGAGTTTATATTTTTTCCAATACTAATATATATCGATGTTCGCGGGATGTCAAAATCACTCTATATAGAGCGTTTTGTACGTCCTTCTATACGTGCAGCCTGTGGGTGCTAAAAAGCAGTACAGCGCCTTACGCGTCCAATACAACAATGCGTTCAGGGTGTTGTTGGGGCTGCTTCGGTTCTGTAGCGCGTCGGGAATGTTCGCCGAGGCACGAGTCGACTGTTTCTTTACGACCATGCGGAAAAGGTGCACATCCCTGATTCGCCAGGTCCGGTTCAGCCCTAACAGCATCCTGAAGGCATTAACAGACCGTTATGACTGTCGGTACTTGAACCATTGTACCATGGTTCACTTGCGGACTAAATAATAATAATAATAATAATAGTTGGTTCGAAGTAAGTATCAGTTGAATGGAATATTTGAAATGTATTCAACTGATAATTACTTTTAATAAATGTATCTTTTTTATTTGATTGGTTTTGTTAATTTTCAGTATGTTTCAATGATACTATGTACACATATGGACTTATTGTTGTCTGAAATAAAATAAATCGTTCATTCAGTCATTATTTGCTTTATTACGCTGTTAATTGACCTCAACTTATTCATTGAGATAATTTTCCTCACAAAACTAGACATAATAACAAAAGATCTTCAAAGATGTTTTAGGAATCTATTATAAATGAACACAATCAAACTCCTTCAAGACATTTAAAAAGTTCGCCCATGTTTTATTGATTTGAAAAAAAAATGATTATTTTCTTCTTATTTTTTTTTTTCTTAAGTTAAGTTGCCAATAAGTTGATTAACTCATTACGTTTTTTTTTTTTTCCCCTACCTATGCTGATAGTCTTGAGAGGCTATTTCAGCTTCGCCCTAACGTTAGTAGGTGAGCTCGCGGGGCTCAACCGGAGAGTTGCTAACACTGACCCTAGCAAGAGCAGTGCTTCGCAGAATCTACCACCGGATCGGAAACGCGACCCACTGAGAAGATCCGGCGAGAAACTCAGTGGGCTGTGTCTATGGGTTAGTTCGCTCGTCGAGCCCTTCNTACAATACTTTAGCGCACAAAAATGGACTCCGAGACGCAAATCGCAAGCGACCAACGGATCGGCACGTCCGCACTACTGAATTGTAAGCACGATGTATTCACGGTCACTACACTGTCGAGCACAACTGTGAGTTCAGAGACGCGGCTCGCAAGCGGGCCACGGATCGGAAAGCACGTCCGCGCACGACCGAGTCGTGAGCGAGAATGCTCATTACGAGGAATGAAAATTTATTACATTACAAACGTTGTCCTTCTTTTACAAATATTTTACTAACAATATAGTCTACAATAGATTATTTCAATATTGGAGTCACTTATCTATCAAATACATTAATTTATTATAATTGCATTCTTTTAATTCTCATAATATTTATTTTATATCTTGTAGCTATTTGGCGAACATGAATGTGAAATCATTGTTTCTGTGGTTATGTAACTTGGTACAAAGTCTGTCATTGTATCCTCAACGTGCTATAAATAGTGGATCTTATCTATACTATTATTATAAAGAGGAAAGATTTGTTTGTTTGTCTGTTTCGAATAGGCTCCGAAACTACTGGACCGATTTGAAAAATTCTTTTTCCATTAGAAGCCGACATTGTCCCTGATGAACATAGGCTACTTTTTTTAATTTTTTTTTTTTATATTTTTGGTTTCATTTGTGTTTTAATGTTTCCGAAGCGAAGCGAAGGCGGGTCGCTAGTAAATTATATATAGCCACCACAGCGCTACGTGATTGAGTTTGAAACAAAATGAAACATATTAATACGTTCGTGTTTTAATTATTGATTTAATTAACACATTTTGGACACGATACGTTCATTTGAATAATTTAGAATGTGCTGTTCGCACTATGGCCTTCAATATTTTGTTTAGTTTTCCAGTTTACACATTTATGTTTTACACTTGGCTTACATTTAAATTAATTTTATAAAATGCTCATCTTAAGTCACTTTTAAACGGTACATTTACGGTATGTTAGGTTTCCCCAATTTTTAAAGACGCCCATAACTTTGCTGTCTATCGTTGAAAGAAATAGAATAACATCTATAGGTATTTTATTGTTCATAATCGTTATTCAATTTGCATTTCGTTAAGGACAAACCAAAAATAATTGTGGCTTAGAGATAATTTCCAATATGCCATATACTTACATATACTTCCATATACTTATAAGCACAATTCATGTAACCAGAAGTACGTATAATCGATGTTACACCAGTACATGAGCATAATTTTCAGTAATGTGTGCCCCACCCTTCAAACCGAAACGCATTACTGCTTCACGGCCGAAATAGGCAGGGCGGTGGCACCTATCCGCGCTGACTCACAAGTGGTCCTACCACCAGTAATTACGCAAATTATAATTTTGCGGGTTTGATTTTTATTACACGATGTTATTTCTTCACCGTGGAAGTCAATCGTGAACATTTGTTGAGTACGTATTTCATTAGAAAAATTAGTACCCGCCTGCGGGATTCGAACACCGGTGCATCGCTACATACGAATGCACCGGACGTCTTATCCCTTAGGCCACGACGACTCTTACGTTATATAAAAAAAGCAAAACCCTAACAGTTTCAATTCACTTTTTTTTTGGCTACCATTACAGTTATAGATGCAAGTGCCAAAATACCTTCCGGTATCTTGACTGGGAACGTGAATGACTTCGGGGATTATGACGAATGTTTGGGAATACACGATTACGTAGAAGGCATGGAATTACAAGGAAAGTATTGCACGGTCCTCGTGCCTTGGGACCAGATGCCTACAAACCTACCAGAAACATTAGAAGATAACTGGTTACAGCTATTCCTGACCTATCAATTCCGGGGTATTTCTGGAATGCTGGAGCAAAATAAGGGATATGCTCATGAAGTGTCCAGTATAAGAGGACGCATTGACCCAAAGTAAGCAGAAGAGGTTTTAATTTTCTATGTAACCTAGATATTCCACTAACATGAACTTTTGAAGTTGGCGATCGCAGACACTCAATGATAAGCAAGCTCTTAGGCTATCAAAAAACAGTGGCTTTTACTTCTCGCAGCCAACCACATGCTATAGAGGGTCTGTGCCTTTCGTATCAAATTATTTGGATGCTTGGTCAGACCATTTTATCTGTCTTCTATGTCCCATAAACCACTATTGAATAAATGCTTAACAAACCGGTAGGTAGCACTTGTGCACAAAGTTCACTTTATTTTGAAAATGTCACGATTTTAAAAATCTCCATTAATCATTTTGAGCTTTGCGATTTTGGCTTTGGGTTAAAAAAAATGATGTAAATGATTTAGATGGATTGAAAGAAGCGTTGGGATTTTTTCAATAGATATGCATTAGATATTCAATAGAATGAGCTATGAAGCTAAATAGATGACTGTCAATTTTGAAAAGATTCAAGTACAAATCTACAACCATTTGTATAATTTGTTTTGTATCAGACAGCTATTATTTTCCATCGCTGATCTTCTTATACTTCTTATACGTAAGTCAAGAGTTATGCTTGGATGGGTCTCTGTATCACTATGGAACACCGTATCGGTGTATATACCGATAGCGGTATTTTCAAAAAGTCTTAACTTTTACATAAAAACGCAACGCAAACCGAAACGCAATACTATGTAAGCGTTTTGGTTTAAAAGCTGGTAACCTTAGAACTCATTGGTCAAGATGAGTAGCGGCATTAAGATTGTTGTTACCGATAGCCACTTCACACCAGGTGAACCGTGATATGGTTTAATTCAAATATTGTTAGTTTGTTAGTGGTTATCTTCAGTGTAAGGTTCGCCTCGGGCAGTAAAAGTCTCCTACGATGTTTTCCATATAACTCTATTTCGTGTTCAAGATCTCGGTTAAAGATTTCCATCACCTTTATGAAGCCATTACACCATCTCTATAGTGACCAGCCTCGTTTACGATTTTTATGTCTTCTTCTTATCAGCCCACAGATGTCCACTGCTGGACATAGGCCTCCCCCAAGCCTCGCCACAAAGACCGGTCCTGCGCTGCCTGCATCCTGCAGATCCGCACGAACCTCAGTAGGTCGTAGGTCCGTCTTGTGGGAGGCCTACCCATGCTACGTCTTCCAGTCTATGGGCAACCAATCGGTTACTGTTTAAGCCCATCTATATCTGACTAGCGATACTATAAATCGATAAAATATTTTCCACAGCGAGCATACAGTATTTGTGCTGAGTTCAAATGAAACTCTTCTAGGCCTTTGCATACCGAAAGTGTGTACGACATCGGAAGCGCTCAACCATGTTTTGAACTACATCAGCTTTGTCAATTTAACCTACAGGGATTATTACTGTCGGTTGCCGAATGACAAGCCTTTTAGACCCGCTGATTATGTATCTATGTAAGTATTTTGGAATATCAGAGATATCAAAGAATCTAAATGACTTTGATCTCAGGTAATAAATTATAATAGATAATATATTAGGCTACATCATGCTAAATAACGCCCGCGCACGTTTAAAAATCATTATTTTCCTCTTTTTACAATTGAAATTCAAATAAATTCACTGATACGATTCTTATCATCAATATTTATAATAATAATAATTGGCGTAGATTAATTAGCCTGTGAGCGACTACTTTCCTGATTAAAAAATCTGAGTTCGTAAATACTTCAACAGGAATATCGGTACACATATACATTTAATAGCTACTCTAGTTGTAGTATAGATAGTCTAGTGGCTTGACTACTTTGAGTCAGAACGCTTATTGACATCGTTTCTTACCGCAAAGAAGTCATCTTCAACAGAGCGTTTATTCCAGTAAGAAGATTTTTTTTGTATAGATCGATACTGCAAATGCTGTTGCTGGGTACTGCTATAAATCTTTTTGTAGATGTTTCATATTTTTTTTAAGTTTTCCTGGTAAACTAAATACTTGTAATTAGTAATTTCTAATTTTAATAATAATTAGTAATTTCTTTGTCTTTTTCTTCTCAGGGCTATATTTTCAATTATAGCGATTTTAACGGTGGCAAGTTCTTCATATGAGATTTACAATGTCCACGTACTAAAAAAAGGTAACAATTTAATTAGAACTTAATTATAGATGATTTATCTTTGAAAATTTTAAGCGTCTACGATTTAAAACGATAGCTGATGTGCTCGAAGTCAATTGGGTACGCCATACCCTACCTGTCGCTGGACAGATACAAAAATTTCTTAATCTTAATAATTTGTTCACGAATGAAAAATAATTGCATAATATGTAAGTTATGGAGTATAGAAAGATATTACAAAGGGGAATCTGAAACCGGACACTATATCATCTCAGAAGATAAAGAGCGTATGTCGTATGTCGAACTCTGAAAAGCTATTTGTAACAAAATTCTTCGATTGGTTTTTTCTGTGTTGTGGCATTTCTAATTATACTCGGTTTTTCCAAGACGAAGAAATGCAATCGTATAAAATCGATTCTTTAGATCAAGATTTGTGTAATCACTGATCATCTCTTCTATTAAAAGCTCTGGATTTTATTGACGTGAATATTTCAAACGCGTCCCTTAAGATAGACGGTGTTGCTTCGACAATATCTAATTGAAAGTGTTCACTGCTAATCATTAAGACCTGTAATGAGGTAAAACCGCGCCACTTCACAAGACAACTCGATCGATAAAAGATATACTTTGTATTGTTTTTATTCTAACTTCAAACAACTTTTGAAATGGTGCTGCTATTGCACAAATCAAATCACTTCAATGTGACTCCACTGACCCATTACAATCAAATAATGACTTTAAAATTTTCAGATTCATCACAGTTGCACCCTATTTATCGAAATTTCTCAGTCTTTCACAATACCCGCCGTTTCCTGACCTTCAACCGTAATTCTGGACAATTGGACTGTTTGGACGGTATAAGAGTGATGGCCATGTCATGGATTACTTTAGGCCACACTTTTTCCATGATCATCTTTGCTTTTACTCATAATAGTATATACAAAGTAATTGTAAGTAGTAGCTTTATATTAATAATAGATTTATTTAATTGAGGAAGTACCTAGTGCTTACTTGGTAGACAAGCAAAAACTTGGTAGCGGATTTAACGTTTATAACTTACCGTCTGCCATCGACAATACACAATACAACTTACCTCACAAGCTCGAATTTCAATTAGATTGAATAATTAACATTGTACACTTTAGATCGGGAATCATAATTTATTTGTAAAAATAGACGAGCTTATGATAAGGCCCTTAAGATAAATAAGGTGCTACCACTATTTTCCGACAATCGAGCCAAAAAAAACCTAAAATTAGCCGTCTTTTACTGATTTCAAAATGAAGTTTTATATTGTTTGATTTTGTTTTTCAAATCAAATTTATATGCATTTTCCAGAAGTTCAGGCAGCTAGAAACAAATGTTATCTTCGGTGCGATCCTGTCCGTTGATACATTCTTATCAATTAGCGGACTTCTACTTGTTTATACGGTTGTTGGTAAAATACCTAGAGGTAAGTCTTCTATGCTTCACAATCTTCTGTAATAGGAAAACTGACTTTATCATCTCGTAACAGCTTGGATTTCGCACCAAGCACACGTGCATTCAACAAGTGCACCGCATCACAGAACACATCTTAGTAGGGCTCAACAGACCAATGGAAGCACTCTTTTTCGCTATTGCGAAGGCGTTCGACAAACTCTGGCACAACGGCTTAATTCAGAACTTCACGAACTCAAAAAATCACGGCAATGCTGAGCAGTCTCGTGCTCATTATCATACGAGCCTTCTTGTCGAACTATTTATTTCGGTATCGAGTCAAAGGAGCTCTCTGCCCCGTCAAAACTCGGCCCATAAAGTTCCGTTCTTTTCCCACTACGTTTTATTCTTTACGTGAACTATATACCTTGGTCGCTCCTTCTTAATTAGGCGTGGTAGTCCAAAGTATGGGCTGGCCAAAGATTTTTATGACGGAAATGGTACCATAAAAATCTTTGACCAGCCCATACTTTGGACCACGAAGGTTAAGTACATATTATTATGTACATGGGCCCTGTGTCACTCTCGGTGCTTTTCAAAGCACCGGTCACCGTTATCGTTGAATTCATCAATTGCTACAAAGAGTCCAAATTGCAACCTGACCCATATACAAAACCCACTGAGATTCCAATCCCAGAATCAAATCCAAATTTATTCCCAGATATTCCTATCAGTGTCGATAAATTTTTCGCAAATTAGACCATCTGTAAGTCCATTTTTATTGTATTTCAGATCGTTTTCTTAAAGGGATCCCATTGTTTTATTTATACCGATTATTAAGAATATGGCCGCTTCTAGCAGCTACACTGCTACTTGAAGTTTCCTTAATGCACCACATCGCAGATGGTCCATTCTGGCAGGTGGTCGCTGGAGACGTTGAGAATTGTAGAAGTAATTGGTGGCGTATACTCCTCCATGTACAGAATTACTACAGAAGTAATGTAAGATCAGCTTAAACAATTTTCAAGACTTATTTACAAGTAGTCGAATTCTCATTGCGTGACTACTATTTTATTTACTTCCCCATCGATGCTCATGGATCACCCTGCATGAACCAATTGTCGGGCTTAATGGACTATATCATGTAATAAATCGTGTAATAAAAATCAAACCCGCAAAATTATAATTTGCGTAATTATTGGTGGTGTGACTCTTGTGAGTCTGCTTGTGAGTATGTACCACCAACCTGCCTATTTCTACCGTGAAGCAGTAATGCGTTTCGGTTTGAAGGGTAGGGTAGCCGTTGGAACTACACTGAGACCTTAGAACTTATATCTCAAGGTGGGTGGTGCATTTACGTTGTGGATGTCTATGGGCTCCAGTAACCACTTAACACCAGGTAGACTGTGAGCTCGTCCACCCAACTAAGCAATAAAAAAAATACGACTATCTTTTATTTATTTATTTTTTATTGTTTAAAAATACATGTAAATAAAAATAAATATCTTTTTATTTTTTTTAATTTGGCCATGACAACATTGACATGAACATTCATGAGCATATTTCGCTATCATAGTCTGTCCCAGTTGAACTTTGTAAAAAAAAATGTGTGTGTGTCCGCTCCGACGCACGACTGGAGTTTACTGGATATAAAAAATTAAACGAAACAATACGAGAAATAGTTCTATATTACGACAACACGATACACTACAGATTATTAACAAATTAACGAGACACAAAACAAACGACTAACAAATATATGAAAATACAATAATGAGAGAAACGCGCGATCAGTACGAGGCTTTGTGGCGGACTGCCGGCGCAGCAGCCCGGCGTCACCTGCGATAACGCGGCCGCGCGTTGGCTCCTGATTGGCGCGCGCACGCATCACGCAATCAGGAGCCAATCAGGCGCATAACGCATTTCGTGTGACATGCTAGTACGATTTTGGTCCCCATAATTTTCATACCCCGGGCCTATATATGTAAATCGATTCTAAAGGAGTAAACTCCAATATATAGATAGATTAAAATATAATATGTATGCAAAGATATAAAAAATTAACCTAACCCTGTTAACTCTTTTCTAGTGCATGATTCACACTTGGTATTTAGCGGTGGATTTTCAGCTCTATATTTTGTCTCCTATTGTGATTGTCTGGTTGTTCGGGAGGAAAGCGATAGCCTGGCTCATTCTGATCCTCTCAGTGTTGTTGTCATGGGCTGTGACTATAACTTACAGTTATACGTTCAAGATGTCCACAATATTACATAATTTTGAGTAAGTCGTTTGATTTTTATTTTCCACTATATGCAATGCACCAACACAACACTCTCTACGTCACCTTTGATTGACTAGTAGATAATTCCTGGGGCACTAAGTTTGCCCTTGTAATATTGTACATAAAGTAAAATAATAATAATTTATTAGTGTCTTGCTTTTATTGGTACCGTGGTATTGCCTATTTGTACTGCAAATTTAATACCAATTTCGGATCAGTAATGCACGTTATTTGGCTCAATATGAGACTGCGGCCTAATGTTTGTAGGTAGCAAGTTGCCGGATTTGAGCTGGGATTTGTGGGTAATAGTGCCGAACTAAATAAAGGTCTTTTCCACGATTGTAATAATTATCCTTATTCCATGGATGGAATGTTTTTATGATGATATGTTTTTATATTATGAATCAAGAACTAGAAATTGCAAGAACAAACAAGACTACTACTTCAGTTTTAGTAACGAATCCCTTGTATATTAAACTCTAATATGCTTCAGCGTAAAAGTTTCTTCACTAAAATCTCTTTACAGGCGTTCTGCTGATATCGTTACTTATCTGGATAAGTTTTACGATAATACATTACCCAGGGCCGTACCATTCGTCGTTGGCATGATGTTTGGGTATATCCTACACTTGCACAGAGATAAAAAGTTGACCATATCTAGGGTGAGTAAGAGATTGGTGGATTTTTTTAAATTTTTATTGCCGTATTGGCAGACGAGCATACGGTCCACCTGATGGTAAGTGGTTACCGTCGCTCATGGACGTCAGCAATGCCAGGAGCAGAGCCAAGCCACTGCCTACCGTTGAGAATGACATTGGAAATGCCAACGCTTCGACAAGCGTTTCGGTATGAAGGGTGGGGCAACCGTTGTGTCTATACTGAGACCTTAGAACTGATATCTAAAGGTGATGGTGAGGAGGCCGGCGAGATTAAATTGTAAAAGTAGTTATATTTGCGTCTTTCGAAGCTGATGAAAATATTTTTGTGGTTAAAAATCATTCTACATAATATATTTAAATACATTATTTACGAAACACGCATTTCGATATCCCATAGACAAGCGTGTATGTTTTCATGTCAATTGATCAAGCTAATACTGCCATACTGTTTATTTTTACCATGATTAAATAACGCGTTATAGTTTTAAGGGTGAGTGGCCGTTATCCTATTGCAATTGAAATTTCAACAAAGCCAATCAATACTAAATTCAATTGTGTCGTATAGGTCATCTATACCGATTCAAATATAATATAATAATTTCTCTTTCAGCTATATGTGTCCTTGTTCTGGATATATTCGTGCATCGTCATGTTTTTTGCGGTTTATTCTTTATACCCTATGGCCCAATCTGGCTACGATAACCAAGCGTTTGATAGTTTTTATAATGCTTTTGCTAGAATATTATGGGCATTTATGATCGGCTGGCTTGTCTTGGCATGCGATCATGGTTATGCTGGTAAGATGTTTTATATTTATAACACTATTAAACAAGAAACATAAATTCTATGTTGCGATGACTTCAGGCTTTCTTATTTGTCATAACTTTTTGTTAGTTTACGAGTACAAAACTTGTACAAATGGCAAAAAGCAAAACGATCCTTTAAATACCAAACTATGGAATAAAATCTACCATCATTGAACACAAATGATTATCTATTATTTCTATTAATTCTTATTAGATAGAAGATATTAAATTAGATTTCTATTATACTAAGTATCCAGTTATGGCATGTTTGCTCGAGCCAAAAATATGATCCATCTGTAGTATCAGTAGTCTGATATTTCCTAACTATCTCTCTTTTAATTTAAATCTTGAGTAGTAGTGTCTTACTTACTATGTATGAAATACAGTAGAGACTACAACCTTTTGCCTTCGCTTCCTAGTTAGTACTAGATATTAACACCAACAATCTCTTAACACCTATGTAATCTCTCATCTGTTTAAATAACTACTTAAGTTTATTTGAAAGTTTTAATACAGTCAATTTTTTTAAGTGAAACTTCTAATGCGACTTCCCACAAGGTTGCGTTAAAAGTTTAACACTACCACACCAGAAAGAGACAGAGCGAGAGTGAGTGCCTGGCACTCGAACGAATGCGCGTAGTATACCTGTTACAGGCCAGCGCGAGCTTTAGCAACGTGTAGCGTCCAATATTTTAATGAAGTATTTAAAAAATATATATATTTATTTTTCTATCTATAATATCAAACATATTATATAAAGACGAATTGAAGATGTGGAATCTCTTATGACACCATTCCCTATTACAAGAGCAATCTGATTTAAGGATGAAAAATGAAGAAAACCACAATACTACACGTCGAAAAAGAAGTTTCACTTCATTCACGTGCACTAAGTTGCATGCCTACCTTTTTTATGTATTATTCTTCACAGGTCCAATTAATTGGTTCCTGTCATTGAAAATTTGGAAAATCCCTGCTAGATTATCATTTGCCGTTTATCTGATACATTTACCTTTGCTTATGATCTTCCATGGTTCTTGGAAAGAAACGCATTATTTTGGAGGTACAGAAACGGTAAGTTACTTCTTAAACGAAATGATATTACTAAGGTAGAATTCTGCCTTTGCCGATTTTCAAAAATTAAATACCCAATTGTACGTACCTCGCTGCGTTTTGATTCCTAGAAACCAGTTGCGGTGTGGCTATTTTTTTATTTTAGATGTGGTGTTAAGCGGTTACTGGAGCCGATAGACATCTACAACATAAATGCCGCCACCCACCTTGGGATATAAATTCTAAGGTCTCAGTATATTTGCAGCGGCTGCCTTACCGTTCAAACCGAAACGCATTACTAAAGTGATGTAAAAGTACTAAAGTAATCTATGCTCAGAATCTTTTCTAATGAAACAAGATTCGACATTACGTTAAATTGGTATTTAAAATAGGTGTTTGGTAATTATATCAGCAAATTATCACAATTGTTTATTTAATTGAAGCCATGAAAATTTTAATAATGAATGACAAATGATAATGGCCGATATGAATAAAAAATAATAATTTATCAAACACCTAATATATGCCTATTCCAAATACGGAATGTTATTAGGTAATGAAACAAACTTTTAATCTGGACAGGTAAAATAGAGGTGTGGTGATAATATGGTTGATAGTAGATGCTTTTTTCTGTTACAGTTTTTTAGATACCTCAATAATTTGTGCGTGACCATTCTAGTTGCCTTTGCTATGTGCATCGTGATTGATGCTCCATGCTCCACGCTACAGAAAATGCTTCTCGGTAATTTTTTTTTTTTTAATATCTCATGCTCTCCTCTACCTGCTAAACTGTAATGTAATATCGGTAGACAGCGGCTTGATTGTGCCCCTAGCATTGCTGAAGTCCCTAAACTATATTGACTACTGACCATTTGGCGTGTCGTATACTTAATTACTTGTCTACGAAGACAATATGAAGTCGTTGTGGCCTAAAGGATAAGACGTCCGGTGCAGTCGTATGAAGCGATGCACCGGTGTTCGAATCCCGCAGGCGGGTACCAATTTTTGTAATGAAATACGTACTCAACAAATGTTCACGATTGGCTTCCACGGTGAAGGAATAACATCGTGTAATAAAAATCAAACCCGCAAAATTATAATTTGCGTAATCACTGGTGGTAGGACCTCTTGGGAGTCCACACGGGTAGGTACCACCACCCCGCCTATTTCCGCCGTGAAGCAGTAATGCGTTTCGGTTCGAAGGGTGGGGTAGCCGTTGTAAGTATACTGAGACTTTAGAACTTATATCTCGAGGTGAGTGGCGCATTTACGTTGTAGATATCTATGGGCTCCAGTAACCACTTAACACCAGGTGGGCTGTGAGCTCGTCCATCCATCTAAGCAATAAAAAAAAAAAAGCAGTTAGGGTCTGTTTTTTATTTTTATTGCTTAGTTGGATGGCTCACAGCTAACACTTTTTTTGTTTTGTTTTTTCTTGTTTTTTTTTTTATCACAGCTCACCTGGTGTAAGCTGTTACTGGAGCCCAGACATCTACAACGTAAATGCGCCACCCACCTTGAGATATAAGTTATAAGATCTCAGTATAGTTGCAACGGCTGCTCCACCCTTCAGACCGAAACGCATTACTGCTTCACGGTAGAAATAGGCAGGGCGGTGGTACCTACACGCGCGGATTCGCAAAAGGTACTACCACCAGTAAAAAGTAGTTTTGCCTTGTTACGGATTTGCTTTTTTTGTTACAGGCATCAAGAGTAATACTCAGAATAGCTCAAATGAAGAACCGCAAGAGACGGTGGAAGACGGAAAATCCTTCAAAACAACTTTGTAGAATTGATTTAGTTTATAGTCGCGTTGTAGTTTTGGTGTATAAAAAAATAGTAACTCTGATTGAGGTCTTTTTCTTAAACAACTTAAAAAATTTAACGTTTAATTATGACATATTCGCTTTATAATTTCATTTTTTTTATTATTATTGGTGATATTGAGGTTATTGATAGTACCTGTATACCTGGTACCAGATTGTGAGTCAGCGTCAATTTTGGACATCAGCAACCCAGCACAGCTAAACCGATGTTAGACTAAAATACTCTCCTATTTCTACACCTGCGAAACGCCTCGGAAGGGAGTTCAGTCCAGAACAGGACGGTACGTGGCAAAAATTATCTTCTATATGGTGATACTGGGAAGCAGGAATGAGATCTGCTCGGCGAACGAGTAGTGCGTTGATAAAATGAAGAAGGCAGAATCATTTCTAACACTTCCTCCAAGCACAAAACGCAACGAAGTTTATCACTGATAGCTCAGTTTTACTAAAATTTAGGGGTTTTAGTAATACTGATTTTACGCCATCTGCTGATGTTGTTTAAGTCTTTTTTCCAAACTTTGCACACACTGCAGCGATTTATCGCGCTTAGTAGGGCAAACGAATATCGGGCAAGAAGGCGGGAGATTTCAAAATTTAAACCTCAAAATCGAACATTCCCCTCCACCGAAATCTGCCCGGATTTTCCATTGGGAAACCAATAACAATTATAATTGATTGTTGATTCATGTTTACAGCGGACTGTATTTAACTATATATTAAAATTGATTCTAATAAATTATTCAAAATAAAATTATGTATACGAGTAACTAAAAGGGAGATCATGCAAAAAATTACCTTTATGTAATCTTACTGTGAGTTAATTTCTATGTTAAAAGCTTTACTGTGTCCAACGCTATTGGGAGCGAACAAACCTAACGACAGGACGCGTCATATCCTTATTAATACGCTTTTATTAGCTTCAGACGTATGTACTTAGTCTGGCCATAAATACTGCTACAATTAAAAATAATAAAAAAATCTATTGCAAATAACATTTATTACTTTTACAGTGTGTTAGTTTAATACATAAATATAAAACAATTTAAAGTATAAAAAGCTTATTCGAAGTGGTCTCCATTGGCTGCAATACAGTCCTTTAAACGTTGAGGCCAGAAGCACGCACTCTTTCCATGGGAAAAATTTTCACTGCCACTCATACGGATTGTTTTATGGACTCCAAATTATCATGGCGTTTAGAGCAATCCGTACTCTCTAAAACTGACCATAAATCATAATCCAGCGGATTAAGATCGGGACTAGACGACGGCCAGTCTTCAGCTCTGATGAAGTCCGAAACGTTCGTTTCCAACCAAGACTGCGTAGACCGAGCTTTATGACCTGGCGCCGAGTCTTGATGGAAGGACCATTCTTGATTATTGAACATGGTGTTGTTAAGGGGCTTTACTACCTTCTCAAGAATAGTATCTTGATACACTTGTGCCGATGTTTTGATACCTTTTTCACAAAAGTATGGCTCAGTCACTCCTTCATAGCTAATACCCCACTAAACCATCACTGAAGTCGGATAGTGCTCTTTCGACTAATTGGGAAGCTTTCTTAGAGCTTTGAGCATAAATACGGCCATTTTGTTTGTTAAAATATTGACAATTGTAAAAAAATTCTCATCCGTAAACAAAAAATTTCTATGACCTCCCTTTACGTACCGCTTTAGTAGTTGTTTCGATTTTACAACCCTATTCTCTTATAGGCTGCAAGTCCTAAGTCATCTTTTAAAATACGCGACATGGTTCTAGGTGCTATCTTCATCTCCCAAGATAAAATCTTTTGCTTTCGGACAGGATTTCTTCGAATTCTTTCCCTTACTGCTTTGACCACCTTTTTCGTACGAACACTACGTGGACGGCCAGATCTTTTTTTGTCACAAACAGAAGAGGTCTCATTGCACCTATTAATAGCCCGGTACACAAACATTTCACTAATACTAAGCGTATGGAGAGTTTTAAAAATTGCATTTGGCTCCATACCTACTTTGTGTAATGCAATCACAGCGATTCGGTTCTCTTTATCACCCCACTCCATTTTAATATCGCAAAATATTGTACAATGTATTGGCGCCAAAATGAGAAAACTCAATGAGCAATCATATAAAAATGACAGATTCGCAGTTCAAATGTAATTTTTTGTTTATTTTTAATTGTAACAGTATTTATGGCCAGACTAAGTATGTTAGTATGTAACGGAATCTTTGAACATGATTTTGACCCCCTTCAAAACGTCGGATTAATTCGAAATTTGGTATACTTATTAAGGACCGATGAAAATTCAATATTTAAACAAATTTCAAAAAAATATTGAGAAAATTGAAATTCAACTAAAAAATAGAAAATAAAATTTAATAAATTTGCATTAAAAATAGTGTAAGAAAAAATTATTTTATTGTAAAAAAAGCGTGGCGTGCATGGTATTAGTAGTTATAATTTTTTTTGGGTCAGATATGAGTAGAAGGGTTACTTTGATAATATCCTGAATATCCTGAAGCACCCCACGCTTTTTTACAATAAAATCATTTTTTCTCATACTATTTTTAATTCAAATTTATTAATTTTTTTTTCTATTTTTTCGTTAGATTTTCTATAAAAGCGTATTTTGTTAGTTTTTTTAAACTATTTATTTATTTACTTACAAACTTTGACAGCTCGCACGACACCTCCGTAGCAGGCTTCAATTGAGCGTCTCGGGTTAGATACCATTGTAACGGCGGTCCATTGGATTTAATCAGAACTTAATCTCCGATTACTAAATTTCGAGCTATGAACCACTCTTGTCGCTGCTAAAGTGTGTGAAGCTAATCTTGGCACAACATTTCCAAAAAAGTTGTGAAAATTGTTGTATATTGCCTGCCGGTAAAGCCAACAACACTCGCCTGATCAAAAAATGTGCCGACGCCCGCACTTTAAGCCCCACTGGATCATTAAGCACTGGACATAGCAGTTTAGAACTGAAAAGGGCCTGAATGCGCGCATTTCCGACCGTTTTATTTATTAATAATAATTTATACATATTTATACAAATTTATTTAAAGGTTTTATTTATTTATAATAATTGATTAATAACAATAACTATATTAAGAAATTATTGTTTATTACGTTTGTCACCTGAATTGTTACGCACAGTGCCTATATCTAAGTGCGTACTTATCAATATGCAACCAAAGGCAAAGTAAACAAATCTAAACAGCTATGCAATACGTAATTATCTTCTTCCTCCTCGTTTGGTCGAGACTTGCTGATAACCAACCGCTCAACTCCGCTGCTACCAAGGTTAGCTGCCGGAAGGTTGTAATAAAAAACCTGGAATGTTTTATTAATTTGCTTTAAATAAAAGTATCAAATACCGCGGTTTGTAGCTGCAAATCCGCAACACTTTGGATACCACAGTCTACGATGCCATATACACCGCCGAGAACAGAGGAAGATGGCGAAACATCCTCCAAAGAAAAATAATGAGAGATGGTCGTGACCCTCAGACATGAGGGTAGTAGTAATGCGTTTCGGTTCGAAGGATGAGGCAGCCGGCAGCCGTTGTAACTATACTTGAGACCTTAAAACTTATATCTCAAGGTGGGGGGCGCATTTACGTTGTGGATGTCTATGGGCTCCAGTAACCACTTAACACCAGTTGGGCTGTGAGCTCATCCACCCAAATAAGTAATAAAAAAAAAGAGGCATGCGAAGGAGAAGGAGGTCAGATAACATCGAAGACGAGAATGATTTGACACAAAATGAAAGTTACAAGCTTACGTCTGATCAAATATTTGGCGAATAGCACACACACGCGCGCTACAATATACAGACATAATATTATTATGTACACACATGCATGCATTTTGGAATAAAAAAATGGAATCTTCCGTTGGCAGTTGATTTGCTAGTGATTACCTAACCGTTGACTATCGCATTTCACTAATTAACTAAGCTGTAAGTTCTTGACATACATAGATTCTAATTAGCACATGTCGCATCTTGATGAAGGTCCAAGGATTAAGTTTGTTAACGAATTCAAGGACCAAGATCCTTATTGGATATCCGATTTGTCATTGAAACAGCATTATTACAGTAGCCTGTAAAGTAGTAACAGTATTGTTGACTAAATTGGAAGTTTGAAAACAATGTTTTGGTTATTTCTTTCAAGATTTTGCACTTATGTTTAAAACAAGGTAATCTCTATAATATTGATGAGTTTTTTATTACGTCAGTTTGTTCTATGTTGGACTAACTTTAACTGGGGACTTTTATTAGACAGTTGAAATTGTGCAGAAGAGTTATGAACAAAAATTTATAACACTTAGGACTATACAATATGGTAACAGAGAGGTGAATGGAATTCCAGCATGCGTAATCGTGGATATCTTCAGATAATTTTATACTAAGCCCGTTTACTCTTATTGCAAAGTTCGTTAATGGTGATTTCATTAGTAAATTCTCAAATATCTTCTAACATTTTACTGTGTAGCGATTGTCGTTGTCTTGCGACTTCAGCCACTGTATACAGGTATACACTGTCCTTGGTGATTTGAGCTAATTCACGAAGTCGATCTAATGAGTGGAAGGATTTTTAGATGGATTCTGACATGACAAGATTCTATAGTTAATATAACAAAAAGGTGTTATGATGATGAACAGCAGTACGATCGCCAGTAAGCCATTAGGATATAATAATATTATGATATGCTACGTTTTAACACGTCCTTACGGGTCCATCAGATCTAATAACTCTTTCATTAGACGGCTTCAACTCTAACGCTGAGTGCAGGCTTAGCGACCCCATGTAACTGTACTCGTCGAACTCGGCAAAGAGTTCGACATGCAACCTAACCCTTACATCAGCCCGTTGAGTTTCTCGCCGAATTTTCTCAGCGGGTCGCGATTCCGATCCGGTAGTAGATTCATTCGCGAAGCAATTGCTCTTGAGTTGTTAGGTTAACTTCGAAGGCGCTCGGGCAGCTGTTAACAAGCCCCA